CCCCAAGTTTGAGTCAGTTTTTCCAGCACATTTCACTGCCTGTGAGAAGCAGAAACGTTCAGATTAATATGAATTATTAGCCTTTCATTATGTTTTGTTATTGCTGTTGTTGTTATTATTACTACATTGCTGCTGTCGTACTAATTATTGTTATAATTCTGTAAAAAAAGCAGTGTTTTAGGTGGCAGTTTTTGTACACATCACTGATGCCTCGCAACCGAAGGCGATAAAAGCAAACTACACATTCGCTGTTCTTCCGGATGCGGTTGCTGATGCTGCGATTGGTCATCTACCAACTTTTAATAGTCCCTTAGCAAATGTAATTTTTATTTTCATTTGCTTAAATAAATAATAGATAAACAAATGAAAATGATTTTTCTATTTCTTAATCCAGATGATAGTAGAAACTGTCTGAAAGCTTATTATGCTTTAAGACCCAATGTTTACTACTTGTTTAATTAGTACTGAAGAAGTTGTGTGCTTAAGCCAATGTTTTTCTTATGTTTGGTGTTTTCGCAAGATATTAAGATTTCTGTTGACCTAAGTCATGTGCAACATCAAGGGTTTTACGACAATAATTCGTGCGGGAATAATGTTAATTACTTTTTTCTGGAGAGTGCTGGGAATTATTTCGATTTCATATGTCTACTCGTTTCTAAGACTATTTTCGTTTTTCATTTTGTTTTCGTGCTTTTTGAAGGTAGCAGTTTGGGTGAATGACAGTCGATTTACAATGGATGCAGATGGCTGGTTACACGCAAATATTACATTTCCGGATGCAGTCTCAGGACAACAAACAGTGGTATCCATCCTGCGAGTTGGTACCAACGATATAGATCATTCGATTGTCACAATTAAATTTATTGAACCAGATACTCGTCGGCCGCACTTTTCACGTGACAAGTAATACTCTTCTTATTGCTGGTGTAATTAACGTGGTGATAAGCAGTAGTACTAATTTTAGACTTTATGTAATCGTGTATCATTCAGCTATGTTAAAGTGAAAGAGAATAATTCTGACTTCATCTGAAAAAATACGGCGCCATCGGGATAGAATGATGGCGTGAAGACGGATCCATCTCATTACCAGAAGGTTGTATCCCACTTAATCCCCATCTTGATTATCCGAAAGTTCTTGGTGGAATTCGCGTTTTAGCAAAAGGTGCAATAACTCCTTTTTTTAATGACTGTATCGCTTTCCACTAGCATTAGTGTAATAACTCTACCACAATGTCTTGAAATAACATTGTCTTAGTGTGAAGATTAATTACCCTTAACGCTTATTCCTTTCCTTAATCCTCTAGAGAAAAAAGATGCTGTACTGATCAACATTACGTAAAGTTACTTCCAATTTTGCTCTTTGATTCTTCACGCACGTTGTACTTTTCGCACCTTGCACTCGCTGACGTGATTGAATCCACTCTGTACTCTAGCACTAGTCATTTTGCTTTTTCCACTTGAATTTCAAGGAATTATCGATTAAAAAAATTGTTTCAGGTACAGATTCTCGGTTTTTGAGAACTGCAATTTGCACACGGAGATTGGTGTTGTTCAGGCTGAAAATCCAGACGTTGTTAATCGCACTAGGGACATCACCTATCGTATCTTGAACAAAACAGATGATCTGCCGTTTACCGTGGATCCCAAAACAGGTTTCGTATGATCATTTAAATGGATGATGCGCATGTCTTCGTAAATTAAGTTACAAAATTTCACTGTTTCTAATCATCTTTGGCGTTATCCCACTGTGATCGGATTCCGTAAAATCTAGAAACAGTGATAGCAGCCAAACTACTTGTTTGAATGTATATCATTCTAATACTTTCTGTATGAGCAGTTGGTCTAACCAAGAACTTTACTGAAATCTTGCTAAATGGAATATTTCTCGAAAAATTAAAATAATTGCAG